TGAGTGGAACCTGTCCTGTTAAACCGCTGTATGGTCTTGGCCACAGTGGTGCAGCTCAGTTTCAGGGTCTTGGCAATCTTCTTATAGCCTTCGCCATCTTTATGTAGAGCAACAATTCTTTTTTTCAGATCCTCAGAGTGTTCTTTGCCATGAGGTGCCATGTTGAACTTCCAGTGACCAGTATGAGAGAGTGAGAGCGATAACACCAAATTTAACACACCTGCTCCCCATTCACACCTGAGACCTTGTAACACTAATGAGTAACATGACACTGGGGAGAGAAAATGACTAATTGGGCCCAATTTGTGGACATTTTCACTTAGGGGTGTACTCACTTTTGTGGCCAGCGGTTTAGACATTAATGGCTGTGTGTTGAGTTATTTTGAGGGGACAGCAAATTTACACTGTTATACAAGCTGCACACTCACTACTTTACATTGTAGCAAAGTGTCATTTCTTCAGTGTTGTCACATGAAAAGATATAATAAAATATTTACAAAAATGTGAGGGGTGTACTCACTGCTGTGAGATACTGTATAGATAGATATTATCAAAGACAACTTTTTGTAAAGGTTTTGATTTTTTTTTAAATGTTGGTTTGAAATGTCAGTTTTTGCATTAATTTTACTACAGTTAAACCTGAACACAGAGAAAGACATTTTGTTACACATAACATCAAAATTCAACAAAAGTAACAAAAATTAACAGGATTTTTTTTTTTTAGACTAATCAATTTAATCTGATTTCAGCCTCTTATTTGAGTCTTCTGGCTCAATTTTGCCATATTGTTACAGCTACATCAGTTAATTTGTGTGTGTATGTGTAGCTAAGGTATCCCAGGCCACCTTTCTCCCCCTAGCGACGGACATGTGTAAAAGTAGGCCTATTTGAATTTTGGCAAAATGTCCAGTTTGTTTATTATTTACAGTACATACGTCTTTAAAAAGTACATAAAGAGATTTATTTATTTTCCATTTGATGTTTGAATTATTACGTTGACTGTTTTGAGTTGTGTGTGTTTGTAATGAAGGCTGGCCTATAGTGTGTTGTATGTATAAATATTTTTGGTTTTCTTTCTCCAGCAGGCTAACTTTAGGATTGCTATCCACCATTTGACTTTGGGCCACAAAACCTCTTTGGCTCGACATACTCATTTCTTTCTAATTCCCATGATTATTCATGAACTGTGCCAAGTAAGTACTTTGTTCATTAGTTGTCTTGGTTCTTGGCTGTTACTGTCTTGGAACTTGGCTTTAACTGTTTCTTCTCTGGAATTCTTCTTATTTGACTTTGTTCCTTTCTTTCAGGTTTTTTGAGTCTTAGCAATCAGTATTTCCCAGATCAAGGTAGGCCAGTTCTCCTAGATGAAGCAGGTTGAATTAAATTAACTGGTAACTCTTTGCAATAAGGTTCAAGGTTTATTAACATCAGCTAATGCATTTGATATCATGAACTAACAATGGGCAATATTTTACAGCATTTAGTAATTTAAATACTGTTAATTTACATATGATAATATTTTTTTATATTTTAGGATGTATAAATTAGCATCAATGTATTGAACAAAGTACGGAACAAACATGAATGACCTATAAACTAGTATTATTATAAATAGTAGTATTTTTCTTGTAAACAGATATACACTATTCAATGGCCGAGCATAAAGACAACAGTGTAACTAAGATTTATGGGCAGGAACCTGGAGAAAAGAAAAAAAGTAAGTGCAATTAAACTTTTTTGATTTGTTGATAAGGCCTACGCTAAGAATATTTTGCATTGTTAAAAGTATCCATTCTAATGGTAAGAGTTGATAATGATTAATAATAACAAAGATTTTAACCTCAACAAATCATGAAAAATCATGTGTCTGCATTCTGATTCACAAGCTCTTGATTTGATTTCATTTCCATTTGATTCAATACTACATTTGGATATATATCAGGTACAGTACATCTCTCACAGTCTGTCAAATAATGCTGTGAACTAGGGAACTCTCTCAGTTATTAGTTTGCTATAACTGTCAGTACTTACTCAGCTTCTTGCTTCTTGTCGTTCCAAATCCATAAGACTTTGGTTCGTCTACAAAACATTAATTAAGATATTTATAATTAAACCTGAGAGGTTTCTGTCCCTCCATTGAAAGTCCAGGTAACTAAAACTTCATAAGCTCTTTAAAGTGTCTAATGGAATTTTTTTTTTATAAAAAAAAAAGAAAACAAAAAATTAAATCATTAAAAGTTATGGAAGAATAAAGGTAAAATGCTGCATGATGTAGATTAATGACTTTATTTATATTTTAGGCAACGATCTTCAGCTACAACATGATTATAAGGTAAGGTAATGCATTTCAATTCAGTCATAATCTTATCATGATATATGTAAGCAATAAGGAGAGGCCGTGCTGTATTGTGAAGTGGAATGCCTACAACCACTTCAAGCCGTGCTGTATTCACAATATAGCACGCCTCGAGTACCTTATTGCTTTTATGAAACGGTTACCAAACAATACAAATATTAAACCAACAATAAATTCATTAAATGCTATCCTTCCACTAAAAAATAGTTCCTGACAGTGACAGTAAATGACAAGAGAATGTTCCTAGGTGTGACCAGAGCTGTTGAAAACCAGAGTTGTGGCACTTTCATAGACTTCCATAGGAACTGAGAAATGCGGAAGTAAACTGTGTCATGGAGCAGCCAATAGTTCCAAGTAACCAATAGTTCCAGCATTAAAGCCCATTCATTTCAGTGTTTCTCAAGGACACTCGCTGGTAAATTGAAGAAATTACTGCATTTTTTCTATTTTTAATGCATTTGTTAACCTCTCAGAAATCTAACCAGTAGTGCTATTTTATGAAGCACGTTATAATTAATGTTTATCATTAGATAATAGATAGTTACAGTATAATTGCAGTTAGATAACATGAGCAACACTTTAATATCGACCATAACTTGATTCTAGTTGTCATATTTTCAACAGTTTTTAGTCTTTCTGCTATCTTTCTCCTTGTAGGAGTTTCTGTGAAGCCTGCCCATTAGGAATAACCTAGCGCCTCACTGGATATTTTATATAATTCTCTGAACGCTGTTGGTTGCTTTGTTTTGTTGCGAATCAGCTCATGGGGAAATATGAATAATTAATCATAACTAGTTATAATTAATTATAAATATTTAGATCCGCTGTAGATATTTACTTGACCTCTCAGGGTCAACTGTCTGTCAATTCTAAGAACGTTAATTTCCTGATTAAGGTAAATAACTTTCTTACTGTACAGTTCTACAGAGAGCCTGTAGCATAAATCGGCATGATTAAGGGACTCCAGTTATGAGCAAACAATGAACAACGTCAAGTGTGATACAAGTAAGAATGTGGAACAGCCGGGTTAGACTCTCACTGGTGAGAGTGCAGGTTGTTCCAGGGATTGCCGGGAACTGTTATATGATTTCTGTAGTGTGCAGAGAAATTTCCGACTGACCTAGTGATGATGGCAGGAGAGCGGCAGGTGGTTGTTAGCCCTCTGCTTTGCTCAACGTCACTAGAAATCTGATGTTTGCGGTGTCGCTTGGCTCTTGTGGCAGCACCGACTTGAGCTTGCCTGAGTTGTGTTGGTCGAGGTTTCGCTGATGGGCATGTGGGCCCGTTGCTCAACCCAACGTTGTCTGGCTACTTCTGGGGTGTCGACCGGTTTCAAGGGATGCTCCTCCCTTGGAGGAGTCTGATGCTGTGTTGCGTCAGGCAAGGAGTCAGAAGTTTGTCCTTCTCAGTACTCCTTAGTTGAGTTTTGTTCAAGGAGCTCTTTTGCAAGTGTCAGCAGCTCCTCTAACCCAGAAGTAGGCGTGTCCAGCTGTCCTTGTGTAGCCTCCGTTCGGCACCTGTGTGAAGGGTGTGGAGGAGGATGTTGTGGTGGACTGCTGTTGGACATACCGTGGTGTTTGCAGGATGAGAATGAAAAATGGTGTGTCTGATTGGTCCAGACGCTACAGTTTTTTAAACAATATTTAAAACTTCATTCTTGGGTTAAATTCCGTATTTGCTTGCATTCATTAATATTCACTTGTTGTGTTTTTGAATATCATAAAATAACAATAGTGTGTGATTAACCTTTTTAAATTTAACATTTAAAAAAAATCTAAACTTACCAAAATCGAGTGTTTGATAATGTCTAAATACATATTCAAATGCAAAACCTGAAAAAAAGTAATCAATTATGACCTGCAATAATCTTTTCAGCAACTAATCTAGAGCTGTATACATGTATATTTATTAAACAGCCATACGGTTAAATCAAGGCATTACATATTAATATTATTTTTCCAGTCACCAAATGCCTCTGATTTGCCTTTTTTGCACTGGAATTTAAAACTGTTTCTCTACTTTAACCTTAAATGCTACACTAATTGTAATAAATTTAATAAATGTATTAGAAAATATTATATTTTAAATGGACATTCATGGATCATAATTATTGCACATATTATTTGATACCAAAAATATCCTCATAATATTAACTAAATATTACTAAACTAAAATATAGTACATTTATTTAATTGATAAAAAGTTACACTTAAGGTGTTCAGTTACATTTGACTGCCAAGGAGAATGAGAACTTTTTAATGCTGTCTCTTTATCACTCCCCAGAATAAAATACTACTGTAAATACTACTGTAGTTACCACAGTAATCAATGCACAATCAATCAATGCACATGTGTCAAGATTTACAAGAAATTGCTGCAAATACAGTGAAACTGCTGTATATCCTGCTTAAACCCATTGAAACAGATTGACAGCGTAGAGTTGTTTGGAACTATTGAGAGCTCCATGAACCATGTGACTGCGTGGAGGCGAGATCAAAGCATGTCGCAACTCTGGTTTTCAAGGGCCCTGGGTGTAACATGCCTCATCTTATGGAGTTCAAATAAAAACAGAGAATAGGAACTGTTCTCTTCTGCTGTCCCATACAGAAAAAAATATATATTTTCAAATATATTTCAGAATTTACAAAAAATGCCTTCAAAAGGGTCTGTTACATAAAGCAACCCCACTTGTAGGAATTACATGTTATATGTACATTTTACATGTTACAAGTTATATTACATTTATTCAAAAGTTTATCCACGTAGAGAAGTATTCCCATCCTTAAAAAGAATGCCTTCCACACCTCCACCTATTTATGCCTGTTTAAATGATGATTTACCAGTGTCCTTTTTTTTTTGGAGTTCTTTTAAAAGTTTGTCAATACTGTCAACAGAGACTAATGTGCATTGAATCCGTAACATTCCTTTAATTAATGTCTTATATTAAAAATATATAAACATTCTCAAATAGAAATTTAATTTACTCAAGACAATTAAAATGCTTTTTAATAATTCAGCAGAGAAAAGATGTCATGAAAGGAGAACTGGAAAAAGAACCACCCCAATATGAAGACAAGGATCAGATCAATTTGGAAAACATCAATAAGCTCTTCTGTAGACTCAAACTCGGTGATAAAAACTCTTACAATCTGAGGTCAAGAGACTTTCTGCAGGTAGCTCCATCGATACAAAGGCACGAACCATGTAATGAGAAGAATTTGGTTCAAACTTATATACAAGGGCTTCTGATGGCAGATTACAAAGCAAGATACATTCCAATAGAAGAAGACAAAAGCGAGGCGCTTAAAACGAAAGGCACCATGGTTTCTGATATTGTAGGGGGTAATGCCTTTGAAAAAATTTTTAAGAGACCTGCGCATGTTGATACAGGCAAAATACAGCCCATTCACCCAATGGACATTCAGATGGCAGTGTTTCACTGTGCAGATCATATCCTTCGTCAACTTATGGTAACAAAACTTTCACAATGTCAGTATGCTCTTCCTCTGCTTGTACCTGATCTGTTAACCCAAGAGATTGAATTTCCCCTGTGGACCTTCAGGCAGTTTAAGAAAAGCTGGAAGTCACACAATGAAAACATAATTAAAAACCAGACAATCTACAAGGCTGAGACACCTATGATTGCCTTTTTCAGGTTTTCAGCAGTTTCTTCATCCAAGTCCGAATTAATGAACAACTTGATCAATGAACGGCATGACACATTCTTTCACAGACACTGCCGTGGAAGCACCAAATCCCGTCTGCTGATGGATGGAGTGGTTGAGATCGCCTGGTACTGCCCGTCTGGAGAGAAAACCGATAAATTCCCAGACTGTATTGCCTTCTGTAATCTTCATGGCGATGCACAAGAAAATGAGACACAGCTACAAATTCTGACTGAAGAGTCCTCAATCAATGTAGTACTTCTGCCAAATCTTGATGAGAGTGACAAAAGTATGACAATAGTAGAAAAGCTCTACAACAACGCAAAGCCTCTCATTTGCCTTCTGACTGAAGAAGACTCAGTGGTTTCCAAGGTACAGGAAGGCAAATATACAATTGGCTTGAATAAAAGAAGTAGATCAGATATATCAGAGGAACTTAGAGGAACCATCAATGAGTGCCTCTCGAAATCACTGTCAGTTTTCAAACTTGAGAATATGGGCGAACATTCAGGAATCACAGTGGATGAGAACGATGCCTACTGCAGGAGAGGAAAAGAGGCAGCAGAGCAGATGATGAAACTACTGGAGACAAAGGAAATGTCCAAAATCAAAGAAACATTTCTGCCTTGTCAGGGAAAACTGTGGCATGACTGGTGTCTAAAGAGCAAAGAACTACATCGACCTCAAGGGGATAACATTGAAATGCATAATAGCCAAAAACAAACAGAAATGCACAAAATCCGTGAGCAGCAGAAAGAATTTGGCCTCAGTGAATTCTCGAAGTTGTTTATCAAAAAACTGAATCCCATGAATGCTGATGAGAAGATGTATTTCCTTAAATGGCTGGGGATCCTCCTGGATGAGTACACTTCAAAAGATCTCTGCCAGCTTCATCATGAATATTATGAAAAATGGTCAAAAGTGCTGGATTTGAAAAAGGAACATGATAAATCTGAGCAACTGACAGTAGAACAGATACATCTAGAAAAGCTATCGGAAAAGCTGAATGCAGCCACATTCGGCTTGGAGCACATACTAAGAGAAATTGGCCAGATATATGAATCAAATATATCTGTGAACAAGAAGAATAAAGGATCTGGATGTAAACTAGATATCAGGCCTCTTCCACAGTTTGCTGCAGAGCTCATGATCTCCGGATACCCACTGGAGCTGATGGATGGTGATGCAGCTCATGTGCCTCTCATTTGGGTTCAGGCGGTTCTAGGGGAACTTATTCAAATGCTGGGAGACCCAAGAGTATTTGTGTTGTCAATTTTGGGGATCCAGAGCACTGGGAAATCCACCATGCTGAATACCATGTTTGGACTGCAGTTTGCAGTCAGCGCTGGTAGATGCACCAAAGGAGCCTTCATGCAGCTGGTCAAGGTGTCTGAGGAACTAAAAAAACAGTTAAACTTTGACTACATTCTTGTTGTAGACACTGAGGGTCTTCATGCTCTAGAGTTGCCTTGCAGGTCATCAAGACATCATGATAATGAAATGGCAACGTTTGTGGTCGGTCTTGGAAACATGACTTTGATCAACATTTTTGGTGAGAATCCAGCTGAGATGCAGGACATCCTTCAGATTGTTGTTCAAGCCTTCCTGAGGATGAAGCAGGTACGACTGAACCCCAGCTGCATGTTTGTACATCAGAACGTTGGAGACATCACAGCGGGCGAGAAGAACATGGTAGGGAAAAAACACTTGCAGGAGAAACTAGATGAGATGACTCAACTAGCTGCTAAAGAAGAAGTCTGTGGTGCAGAATGTTTTAGTGACGTCATTGAATTTAATATAAAGACTGATGTGAGGTACTTTGCCCAGCTCTGGGAAGGCAGCCCACCCATGGCACCACCCAATCCTTGTTACAGTGAAAATGTGCAGGAGCTTAAGAGCACTATTCTTTCCCGTGCCTCAGAATATAAAGGGTTGACACTGGTACAATTCAAAGATCGTATTGGAGACCTCTGGAACGCTCTTCTGAATGAAAACTTTGTTTTCAGCTTCAAGAATACTTTGGAGGTTGCAACATACAGAAAATTAGAAGAGGAGTACACAAAGTGGACCTGGAGTCTCAGAAGTGCCATGCTGGAGATTGAAGACAAATTGCACAACCGAATCAACAACAGGCTACTCCTTAAGGTTGAGAGTAGAGACTTGGAAAAGGAGATGGCGGAGACCAATGAAGAGGTGAAAAAGTCCATGAAACATTACTTTGAAGAACACAAAGAAAGGGATATGTTGATTCAGTGGGAATTGAAATTTCAAGAAAAAATCACGCACCTGCATTGGGATCTTGTAAGGGACGCAAAAAGAAAACTAGAGAACATCATCTATCAAAGGAAAGCTCTCTTCAAACTGGATGGAGAGAAAACTCTGCATGAGCGAAAACTCCTTGAGAAAAGCAAAGAACTTGCATTAAGCCTTAAACAACAAGGTCGAGATGAGAATGAGTTGAAGGCACAGTTTGATTCTGTGTGGGAAACGTGGGTCTCTCAGTTGACAGGGGATGTTCAACCTTTTGATGATCTTAACTTAGAAAGTGACATAATTACAATAATATCTGAAATTCACGAAAAAGCACTTGTGTGCGACAGATTAAATAAATATGAACACATACATCAAATCACTGATTTTACCACATATGTAAATCCCATCAGAAAATCCTGGGTGAGCAAAAAATGTGGCCTTCCACCAGAAGAACAAGAGTCAATACAAAAACTGTTTAACAGTATTTTACATAAAACTGTGAACCAGGTGAGGTCAAAACCAGTTGCAACGATGGGATACAACAAAAGCTACATTCAAGAAATTGCTAAGCTTGTAAAAATGAATGTAGAAAACCACAAGTGCATAAACGCACAATATGAATTCAAGAAAGAGTTCACAGTTGACCTGACAATCAGTGCTTGTAAGTGGGCAGGTGAGAGGTTTGCCAAGCTCCATCAGGAGTTCAGAAACACCAATGATCCCTTGATTTATTTAGAGAGAAAGAAACCAGAATACTACAGTGTGTTCCAGGGATTCTGCAAAGGTGCAAAATCTGTTACAGTATTTGGAGCCTTGATTTGTAGTGAGCTGAAAACCCCCATTCTCCAGAGTGCCTACAACAAGACTGCAAATGATCTAGCAGGAGAGATGCAGACAAATATTCCAGCTTTCAAAGGCAACAGGTCAAACCTGGAGAAATACATTCTGAAAGCACTAGCAGAGGAGGAGGACTTTCCAAAGTTTATTCAGTACATACATTTTCCAAGGAACCACTTTGAAGATTTCATCAAAACTGAAGTGAAATCTTATATTACAGGGCAGAACTCCTCAGCTCTTGCAATGATTAATGGGAACATCAAGCAAAAGGGGCAACGTGTCATCACAGCTGCTGAAATGGCAACAGCTAAAGTCGTGAATAAAAGTGGAGATGCCAATATGTGGCTGGAGATCTTCTCAGACTGTCTGAAAGACGAGCTTGAATACAGTAAAGAACATCTCACTGGCAACTGCTGTCAGGACATCACTGATTTTGAACTTCTAGTGGAGGTTGTGAAAAGAGAACTTCATCCCATAATAGCAGAGTTGAACAGAGACTTAACAAAGCCCTCTGATATTAAAATGGAAATGTTCAGGGAACCACCAGATGACTTTTTGATTGAACATTTCTGCCAGTGCTGCTGGGTCCAGTGTCCCTTCTGTAAAGTTGTCTGTGTTAACACAATGGAAGACCATCTTGGGGATCATATTGCTCCCTTCCATCGTAACTGTGGGATGAATGGGATGATTTACAAAGGAACAAATAATCTCTGCTTGACATTCTGCACATCTTCAGTGGCAAGTGACAAGTGTTACTTTTTCCCGGATATTCAAAAAGATGACACAGTTTTATGGAAAGAGTACAGAACAGCAGGTCCAGAGTTTGAGAACTGGTCCATCACGCCTGATCTCTCAGAGCTGCCATACTGGAAGTGGTTTGTGTGTCGATTCCAGACTGATTTGGAAAAGTATTATAAGAAAACTTTCAGTGGTTATGGTAAGATTCCATATGAATGGAGATCCTACACAAAAGAACAAGCTATAGAGAGTTTGGAGAAATACCTGTAAGTTTAATCGCTGCCTTAAATTTTTAAATAAACTGTGAAACCACAGTGTCCTGTAAAGCCTGGAGTTTACTGCCAATAAGTTTTATTGTTCTCACAACTTTCTAAAGGCCTTTTTATGAAGAGATGTCATTATAATTACAATTATGGCAGATTTGTAATTATTTTATACAGACATTATATGTACCATTAGTTTGTTTTTACGTTCCAGAGTGTTTTTAGTGTTTTTTTTTTTCAGTTAAATAATTTCAAAAAATATTTTTTTCTACTTTATGTAGATGTAGTTTGTACCGACATTGTTACCTGTAACATCATATTATTAGTATTCCAATGAAATTACTGTGTACTGTGCTGTTTACTTCAGTGATTGCAATAAAGTTTTTCTTAAAATTTTATTATTGTAAATGTTTCTTAAGAGTCAATTATTTACAGGACAAAAACAATTTTAAGGTAAGAAATTATAATTTCAGGTTTATCTCATAATTTTGTTTCCACACCATTGTTTTTCTTTTTTTTTTTCGACTATGAGGGGTATGCTCAAAAACTCTTGAAAATTGGCACACATGTTGGAATCGTCAGCTATCAAGGCCGGGAAGAAAGTCTCTCTCCAAACTCATTTAACATTATCTCAAGACAATGAGGATGCAAAATTGCTAAGGGATTTATTATATCTTGAACGGTTTGGCCGTGGTGAAAAATGAAAAACAGGAAGTTTGTTATAACTTTGGCATACATTGGCTGATTTTGATCAAACTTCAGCAGTTTGTTCGTTGTATGAGGCCAATTACATAGATGTGACTATTAGGATTCAAAGTTATAGCGCCACCAACTGGCAGCAGGAAGTGTCATTTTCAAAATGCTTTTTAAGCAGACTCTCATTTTTACCTGATTTGCTTCAAACTTCAACTTTGTCAAAACACGGCAGATGTAAAACTGCGAAGGGATTCTTGATATCTTAAATACTGTTGCCATGGCAACACTTCAAACTTTAAAATTCTTCTTCTATATATATTCTTCTTCTATATACTCCTCTAATTGCTGTGATATGATTTACACCAGCTTTTGTCAACATGATGCCAAAACACTGAGGTACCAAAATTGTGAACGGTTTTTGGATATCTCAAACGGTGTTGCCATGGCGATTTATTAAAATAACGGTAAAAAAGTAAACAGGAGTTGTCTTACAGCCTATCTTTAGGATAGGATAAGAAAGCCTAATCTTGTTTCTCTCAGTTTCCGTCAGTTAGAATGACAAATACATAGAATTAGTTAATATGTACTGTACTAGTAATATGGTTTTACATAATTATTTCACAGATCCTTTTTTAATTAAATGTTTTGGTTACACTTTACAATAAATTCTTATTTGTTAACTATAAGGTCTCATTTGTTCATTTAATTGTTAGTTAATTAGCTCACTAACTTTTAACAATATATTTTAGAGCATTTTTAACCATTGTTAATGTCAGTTTTTTTGTTTTTTTTTTGATAAAATAATTGCCTGACTATACATCATCTTTTTGAAATTATCTAAAAATGCTGAAGTCCTCCGAGACCATTTATCATAACCAGTCATTACAGTCATTACCAGAAGAGGACAGCATTAAATCATGAGAATCAATGAGAGTGAAGAAGGTCAGTAACAGAATTGCAGCAACAGATTACAGCAGTATTCATATTTGTATAGCATTAGAGGTGAATGACAGTTGAACTGTTTCATAATTAAATTCTCCTCATTTCCTGTTTACACTCATGGTGTTTGGGGGTCAATATGACCCCAAACATTTACTGAAATAAATAAATAATATTAATAATGCGTGTGTGCGTGTGCGTGCACTAGGTCTCACTCACATGTGTTCTGTGTTCTGCTTAATTCTATAAAAGTTCTCTGCTGCAGCCACACCTGTGTGTGTGTGTGTGTGTGTGTGTGTGTGTGTGTGTGTGTGTGTGTGTGTGTGTGTTCTAAAACATACTTACAAAAATCTTGTTTACAACTTTTTTTGTTTGTTTACAACTTCACAGCGTATATACGGCATGTGACTTTAAATCTAATAGTCATGGACTAAAAATTTCACAATTTCCAATTTTAATTTATATTAATTTATACAGTACATATGCTACCGTTCAAAATTTGGTGTTGGTAAGATTCATTTTTAAGAAGTCTTTTATGCTCATTAAGGCTGCATTTATCTGATTTAAAAAAAAAGTTTATAATAGCTGCTTTCTATTTTGATATATTTTAAAATGTTATTTATTCCTGTGTTTGTAAAGCCAAAGTCATGTGTTGCTCCTGCTTAGTGTCTTTTCTTTCCCCCGTCTATTATTATAACTTTCCATTTCTGCTGGTTAAAATCAAGGGAGAAGCAGTGAGACTGAATGGTTGAATCAGTTACAGGTTGGAGTCACAGTGTTCAGTAAAACAGCCCCTGTTTTTCCACTCAATTGCTGAGTCACTGCAGGTCTGTATTAGTACTGAGTCACAGGCCTGCGGCTTTAACTCATAATTACATCTCTTCCCGAGGGCTCGCACATCTCCTGGGGTGTCTAGAGGAGATAAACCCGAGAAAACCAAGGGGAAAAAGTAGGATGCTGTGGTTTGACGCTGGAGTCACTCTTGGCAAGAAATTCATATAAATGTAATTTTGTAAAAAAAAAAAAAAAAAAAACATTTTTAATAATACATATTATATATAAATGTTTTTGTTTACTTCTCATCTATAGCTTTATGCTGTGATTTGGGAGATATGAAGTACTTTTCTTACCTATTTACCACAAAATTCCTCAACTACATCATTAGCATGCATATGAAATATATTTTAAAAATCACTTTAATGATTATCTAAATTAAATATAAGTTGTTTCTGAATATTGATCTAGGTGTTAGGAGCAGAATTCTGCCATCTGCTGGAAAAACAGCAATTATTATATAA